GGAATGCCGCTCTTTGCCTCTTTTGGCCCAGAAAGCAAGTGGAGAGCTCTGCTGTCTAACCTCAGCCTTTGAAATCTTTGGTCTAATACTAGCCTGTAGATGCATGTTATAGACTTGTAGATGGCAATTGGCTGAGGTGGACTGGTGTCTTGGAGAGCACCTTTCCAATCTACCATGAAGTTTGGATAGTGGGAAGATTTTAAAGAGATTGGATAATCCAGAATCGGGTTAAAATATAGCCCAGAACGAGAAACTTGAAGGCTGACAATATACCATTTAGTCACAGTTTGGCATATTCAGTGACTAGCTAGAAGCTCTTTCTGCAGAAGGTAATCCGATCTCCAACATAGTGTGTGTGTGTGTGTGTGTGTGTTTTGCTTGGTCCAAGCTTGCATTTCATGCACAATGGCCTAGTTGGTATCCTGAAAGGGAATTCAGATGCTGGTAATGAAGACAGAGTTGGCTATTTGCTAGTGAAATGGATCTCAGGGATGTAGCAAGAGAAAGGCGAAAGCAGAAGAAAAAGAAACAAAACACATCCTATTAAGAAAATTAGAAGTTACACAAGGACATTGTGATGCAATGTCATTTGATGATGGATTTTACAAAAGAGACTAGCTAGCCAGTCAGTCCATGAAAGAGACTTGGATTTTCTTGGGGAGACATGTACCCATGAACCCATCCTCAAAAACTCTATCACTAGTGAATCCAAAACAAAGCCTAACACCTATACCCTCTTCTTTCCCACCCAATTTAACTGTTTTCAAGCTTGTTTGAAAGATGCCTTTTAGCCATTTCTCAAACTGACTATTCACAAAAGAACCCGAACCTTCTAATACCTCCCCTAATACCCTCTCTTCAATGCTAAAGTATACCCCATTTTGATCCCCAAAAACCTCATTAACGTTTCTCTTGATCTTGGATGACAAAACCTCTGTCATCTCTATACCGTGAGTCTGATTTCGATCGAAAACAAAACGGTTCTTGATCATATCAAGAAGCCCCTTTGGACTAAGCTGATCAGATGAGGTCTCACGAGTCAGATCACTTGAAATGGGGCTGAATTCCCCTGGTTTTCCCTCGCTTTTGTCATCCTCATCGGCCTTCAGGTTGAGATCAAGGGTGTTGAAACTTGACTGCCTTGAGAAGTCTTTCTTCTTGTTTCCATTCTCATCAGGAAACCAAGATGCATTTTCCTTTTCATCGACTCTTGGAGACTTAGACTTGCCTGAAATCTCCCACTCAGCTTTTCTCTTGTGGTCAATGTTGGGTGTTCCAAAACTAGCATTTCTTATTTCATTCACCTTCAGTGTCATCTGGATAACAGAATCATCCATCTTCCTGTCTTCATAAATGATGGAGTCACCCCTAGTCAAAATAAAGATTACTTGGCTGGCATTTCCCTCTCTTCTATTACTTGATTCTCCAAATTTTCCACTTTCAAATCCATCAGCAAGGAATTTCAAGAACCGCGTCTCAGCCAAATCAGCATCTTCCACAAAAACAACAAGTTTTTCTTGGTTTCTTAAGGCTCTTGCAAGCATCTCGGAATATGAGGTCACCTCATTATCCCTTTTCCTCATGTTCAAGTGTAGCAACAAATCAGCAGAGCCTAACACAGACTCAGCAATTGCGAGTGCCAATCTTCTCTTTCCCAACGTGTCATTCCCTTGAATCAGTAACCAGGTGTCTTTTTCATTTGACTTGGATTCAACCAAAGCATCCACTATTGAAGGAATGGATTCAGATTGCCAAGGCACATTCTCTTTCAGCAACTTGCACAAATGACCATTTCTCCCCTTCTCCAGTTTGCCTATATCAGAAAACAAAGAATTCCCAAGTGCAAGGGTGATTTTTACTTCCTTGCCTTCAGTATTCTTCAGAGAATCCAAGTTTGGTTCACCTGGTTCATTCTTCTGAGTACCATTAACGAAGTTGAACTCAACATGGCACGACTGTTGTCTTCTAAATTTAGGCACACAACTGGAGCTGTAGTTAGGCTTCAAAGCTGAATCTCCGAAGGAGATTGAATTTGAATCTGGGAAGAAGCTGTTTTGGCTTGGCCACCAAGGATATGATGAAGCAAATGAGAAATTTTTTCCAAGCAGGCTTTGATTGGTATACAAAGTTGAGTTCAAGTTGCTCTGTCTTCCCTGGTGGTGTAGGCTGTGGCACAATCTGTTCCATTTTCTCCTCAACTCAACAAATTCATCCTGAAAATTTAAATAAAGATATTAGACAGATTATCCACTTGACAAGTTCATTTATATATTGTTTTCTCAAATTGTTACAGAACAGAAAGGCCTCATCTTTGCATTACCTTTTGAATGGAATTTGTGCCTTGTGGCTGAAGCCAAGGAGGCAAATGTTTCTGTTGTCCTGATTTGAGTGAATGAACTTCTTTCTCATAATTAGAGTTGCATTCTGGACAGCAAGTGAATCTATCCTCTTCCTCCTTGCCATCAATAATGAATGGCTTTGTTTCCAGGACTAGAGATGGGTTATGGGAGAACTTTATCCTTGAATCATGGATGCTGCCATTAACAAGTTCATTACACAAAATCCATTAATAAACACAATTAACCAAGCTGAGGGTAGACAGCAAAGTGGACTAACAAATGCAGAACAGTTAAGCTGCTACTATCTTGTCTTGGGCCAATAAAAATTCAAACATTCCTCTAATAGTAAATGTTTCAAGGTTATTGGGGGTGTCAAACACGCGCGCGCGCGCGCACAGGAGCCAGTGCTATAAGAATTAAAAAAAGGCAAACGAAATAGGCATAAAAGTCAAAAAAAAAAAAAAAGTTGTCTAGAAAATTTAGGTCTAGACTCTATTAAGTATCGACTAAGATCTTCGTTCAAAATCAATGAATTCTACCTCTACATTCTTTCAAAGAAATGAAACTGATCAAATTTAAAGTCACTCAACCAAAAAGTAAAGCAAAGTGCAACCTTGAAAACCTTTCATTTTTACTTTTTTTCCCTTTTCTTTTCTAATGATTCTGCTATAAGAAAAATCTGCAATATGCAGTTGCTGTATACATCCTGACAAAACAAAGTAGCACAAGGACAATGATCCATATCTGTGACCTGTCTTACCACCTAACCATGCTTTTCACAGTGTTTTTTTGCCTCATTCAGACCATAAAGGGATGCACAGATAGAAAAGTACAAAAACAAAATAAAAAGCTTCAAAAAATTGATGAAAACCAACGGATGATTTATGTATTTCTCTATCTAGACATAATAATGGATATGTAGATAAAATAATAATAACGGTGACGATGACAATAGAGGTGCCGGAAGTTACCTGGATGGATGGAGGCTCAAACCAAGTCCACCTGAAGGAACTGAGACAGCTTGAAGTGCCCATTGAGTCTCAAGAGAAGGTTGTCTCATCTGACACTTCATATATGTTTGGTAACTTGCAGTTGCCATTAACCATATTTTTCTGTTTGGGCTACTATATTCAGAGAGTAGCCTTCCGATTTCTCTGACTAGATGATCAACTGGACTATAAACAGATACCTCTCCATTAACAAAAGTTTCTTCAACAGTCCATTTCAGGTCTCCTGTATAGATAATGGCCCCACTTTCACCAAGAGAATCCACTTTTCTTTTCAGTTCTGAGAGATTCATTTCCACATCTTGTTTCTTCATGAACTTCAAAGAAATTGGTGCAAACTGAAACTTGATAAACTGAGTTTGTTTCAATTGCATTGGAACCTCTCCTCTTTCTAACCTTCCCATCAACTCTCCAATAAGACCTTCAGTTACAGACACACAGTCACCAACTATCACAACATTCTTTCCATTCTTTCTCAATAAAACCTCCAAAACCAACTTGATATCTTCCTTCACCGAACCAGAATCTGTGAAATAGTTGTTTGAAACTTTCTTTTGCGCTGAAAAAAGAGCTGGGTTTTGCTCAGAAGAGTAAGTCAAGAAATGGCTTTGCCAAAAGGTAGTAGGGTTAATGACTTCTCTTTGAGTTTCAGTAGAAGGTGAACAAGGTGAAGAGAAAACCCCACCAGAAGTACTATAACACTGAAACACAGAAGAAGCTGAAGAGTCCTCTATATTGTTTTTGACTGCAGTGCTAGAGAACCCAGCCTCTCTCATAACCCTACTAACACTAGGGTCATCTAAGATGGATACGATAAGTTGTTCAAGCTCAACCTTAATAGTCAAAAGAGGTTGTTGTTGTTGCTGCTCTATGCAACCTCTTCTTTGATGTGCTTGTGCTCTTTTGAGGGCTGCAATCAAAGCATTGGACAAAGATGGCTGGCCATGAAGTAAAGGACCAGGAGTTGTTGGGAGTCTGTTGAGTGCAACATTAAAGCAAAGCTCAAGAGCTCTGCATTGGAGAGGATGCGAAGTCTGATGAGGCTGTGATTTAAGACAAGCCCTTCTCAAAAGACTAGTTCTTGAGCTCAGCAAGGTTGCAGCTACATGCAAAGGAGTGACCTGAGCATGGCCTCCCCTCCTTGCCAAGCTAAGAGAGTGCTTCAATACTGAAGCAGCCTCTGTTGTGAGGGTCTGCTGGACCGTACAAGCTCCTGAGCGCATAACTTAGCTAAATCCCACCCCCACACCACCCCCTTTGAAAGAAACCTGTGTGTTTTCAGGACCAAACTTCTCCCTTTCCTTAGTTTTTTCTTATGTTTTCTCTCCCCCTTACACCACCCCCACCTCTCTCTTTGTCACAAATCCTAAAGCTTTAAGCCTCACAGAAAAGCTGGTTACTTTCCTCTCTTGTGCTTAGAGGAAACGAGAACTACCACCCTGGTTTTGTAGGCTTGAGCTGAAAATGGATAGTGAGATTTTTTGAAAGGAGAGCTTAGACGTCTTAGTAGAGTCTTAGAAGAACAAGTCTAGATCACTCCACCTTCTTTATACTCCTTGCTGCTGATCTAGCTTTTGCTTTTTCTCTTTTTTATTCCCACTTATTCATTGCTTTCTCTGTCCTAAGTTAACAGTTAACAGTACCTCTGCAACATCTTTTTATCACCCAATGTCCCTCTAAAGGGTACTCTAATAGGTCACTTGATTTATGTTTTGGTGATAATTATGATAAAAAAGAAAAGGGCTTACCTTTAACAATCATATTCTTTTTGTTGGGACTCGCAAATATCAAAATCATATGGTAAAATTTAATGGCATGCCATGCATGATAGACTTATAAATACAGAAGATACTAAATTTCCTCCCTAGCTAGATGATCAAAAGCTGCAAAAAGAAGATTTCAATCTAATTCTTCTTACATTGTTTACCTTCTTCAAGAAAAATTTGTATGTGGGTGCGTTTAATATTAATCAATACAGGAATAAGATTACAAGTTCAACAAGATTTCAAGAGCCGAAACTGTGAGACTGCTATTCCTCAAAGGAAAACTGTCTTGTATTTTAGGATAACAGCATTTCTAGTATTTCTTTTTACAGGAGAGAATACCATCACACCTGGACTATCAAAATAACACCAATTTATTTATAATTAGCAACAAAGTTTACACCTTTACATGTGTTATTTCTTCAGTTTCAAAACCTGACTTTGAAAAAGGCTCAAAGAGTTCACTCAATTTTTTTTTTAAAAAGTCATTAAATTCTTGATCACTTAATTAATCATAGATTAACTCAAGTTAAATATAAGATCGATTTAATAAACCGGTTTAAATTTTATAACCATGCTACTTCATGGGATAAAAAAAAAGGTCCACAAGAAGGACCCAGGATTCAAAATTTATTATCCATAGGCAGAGATAGCTTACCTTTCATTTTTCCACATCATCTTCTTCGAATGGACAGACAAAACCAGCAGAAATTCAAAAAAAGTAGTAAAGAGAAAAGTTGGATTAAAAGAAGGCTAGACTGCGATGAGAGATAAAAAGGAAATTGTTTTCTTCTTTATTTTTTTAGGATGATTTTATTTTCTTCTTCATGTTTATCATCTTTTGCTTGTATGAAAATATTTAGTTATCAAGAAAAAGAAAAAAGGGAGAGTCTCTCTCTTCACGCCAATCCTCGTAGAGAGACAGCATTTTATTCCCAAAGTACTCAAAAAGCAGCCCTCTGTCTCCTATCCTACATCGCATTATTGGCTCTTTTTCAGCTCTCTCTCCCTCCCTTCCCTACAACCTGTAACGTCATTTTGTCTTAATCCCATCTCATTTCCAACACCCATGGTTATAAAAACCAGCTGACTCAGTTAAATACTCGAGTCATATGTTGTACGCATTTATTAGCTACCTTCAATCAATCTAAAATGATGGTATTTAAAAAAAAATTCTTAAAAAATAAAATATCAATCGTTTCAAATTTTTTTTTTAAAAAAATCAAATCATGTCTTGGGTTCATCTTCTAGTTCTATATAAGACCCAACAGGAATAATATCTAAGAATCAACGTGTCGCTAAGTTAATCCGTAGGGTTTAATAACACTGCAAGCAACCCTCTTGGAAAAAATGGTCTTTAATTTGCTAAATAGAGGAGGTAAAAACACAGAAATCTGCTGTGCTTACAGACAACGATGTTCACATCCTGTTCATGTAAGAAAGAAACACACACTACTGTTGGTTGTCTGCATGTGTCTTTGGTCATCAAGAAATATACTTGATAGGTTTCTTATCCTTTTCCCTATTTTGTTCTTATGGTTGTCCATGCTTGGACATCAAGGAACATGCATCTATGCCTTTCATCATTCCTCTATTTTTTCGCTCAGTAACTGTAATATTCTGAGTTATAGTAATTTACAGATGGTAGAAAATTGTGGGTAATTTTTCACTATCTTATTGCTTTGCTAATTCACCATATAGCTTCATGCATGCTTGAGTAATTGTAACTATAACAATTCTGTTTTGACCTTTTTTCATAAGCTTGAAGTAGAAAAGAAAGCAATAATTAATTAAGTTACTTAGGAGACAACATCCAATGATAATGGAATTAAATATATAGAGAATATTTAATTAAATTCAAAAATTAACTTGAAAGTTTCAAGATGATGAAACTATAGTTTACTTGAAACTGTTACTAATTGGCATCATTTCAATTAATTCTTTTTTATTAAATTCAACCAATGAGGAAGAGACCTACTTGTTGCATAGTCCCCAGGAGCTCATGACCATTTTATCTTAGAAAAAAAACTAATGCGTTTTTTTCTTATGAAAAAAATGTAAGAAATTTAAATTGTACTAGGATATTGTAGGGTCTTAAAACAAATTTGTTTTTACTTTTCAAAAGAGCTTTTAAAAAAAGAAATTTTTTTAAAAAAATTTCTTTGATTCAAATTAATTTTTCTTTTTATTTTTAGATTTTTTTAATGTGCTAATGTTAAAAATAATTTCTAAAAAATAAAATAAAAAATATTATTTTAATATATTTTTTAATAAAAAACAATTTTTACCACATTTTTAAACAACCCTTTAATATACAATAACCTCCTATTTTCGATTCCATGCCCTCTAATATTTTTGAACAAGTCTCTTGTTAATGAATAAAATCAAAAAAAATAAAATAAAGAAAAATAAGACTAAAATTAGTAGCCAAGCTCAGATTTATAAATCCTATAATAACTCATGACTTGGATCATTTCTGTTATGAAAAATAAGACTAAAATTAGTAGCCAAGCTCGGATTTATAAATCCTGTTAGAGAAATTATTTTAAATCAATCTAAAATAATCCTGTTTGAGTGTTTTATTTTTATTAAATTAAAAAAATATTATTTTTAAAAAAATAAACTTGATTTTCACAATGTTTATTGAATTGCAATAAACCAAATTAATTTTTATCTATTTTTTTTTCAAAACTTAGATTTTAGATTGAACTACCACAACCCACATGTTTAATAACACTTGGCAAACCTCAATTCCACGGAAAAAGTTTTAGTTACTGCTATCACCAATCATTTCATAAGAACTTCACGGACTTCTTTCTTTCTTTTTTTTGGAGGGGGGTTATCATTTGAACTCCCTTGATCGTGATGTAATATACCCTAATTCTTGTTTTTCAAGTGAATTTTTTCTAATTATCCAACAACCATATGCAACATATATATATATATATAGTAGCTCAGTATTATGAAAAATAAAACCTATACATTATAGCTACATTATTATATAAGATGAGAATCCCCGGAGCTAGCTTTTTAGAAGTAGACAGATAATAAGTTATTCATAAGGAATATTTCAAGCTTTTGGGTGATGTGGGATGTGATGGTGATATCTTACCATGCAAAACGAATTAAATTAGAGGTTCAATCAACAAGGGAATTAATGGGGCCACATCAAAAACATTAATCTCCTCCAGATTTCTTCATGCATGATTATTTACTCAATATTTACATTAGTGTAAACAAATAGCAGGTTAATTATGATATGATATATTGGATCTAGATTAATTTAAGGTTTTTACCCATGTTACATGAAAAAATTACACAAATATTTTATACAATCTATATATTTTCATAAATATATTTATAAGTATCCTAGATATTTATATTAAATATCTTATAATTTAGATATTTATATTAAATATCTTAGATATTTTTTAAAATGTTTATCTAAAAAATTTATATATAAATATATCTTTTTAGGGCATAAGAAGATACTAAAAGAAGATGAGAGTTCAAATTTCTAGATAACACCAAACATATCTGATATAATATTTAAATAAGATTTAAAGAAACGTAGAGAATATTTATTTTTAATTGTTATCTACATTGATTTACATTGATTTATGTATCAAATTTTTTTTTATAGGTGTTGTACGTAGGGCCATCAAATTTTCTGTGTACAATTTTGTTAAGCCCATAGAAAGCGTTCGCAAACTTCTCCTTTGATTTTTTACCATCCTCATAGGATGCGAGTCTCGATTTTTACCCAAAAAATGATTGAAAACAGATATTTTTAATTTATTTAAACAGTAATTTGAGCAAGGAGAAAACTTGAACGGGGAGACTTCCAAGAATAGCATCTATACAGGACGTAAAAAGATTGATTCAAGGGTTATTTTCCCAAGTTTTCATTGCATTAAAAGGAGCCAAAAGAAATTTGCAGAGTGCTATGCCACCATCCAAAGAGTGCTTCAGTTTAAAGTATTTGGAAAGAGCACATTCAAAATTCGTGAAGCCAAAAAATCATGCTCTTGTCCTCAGTATTAGTTGATGGGATATGGAATTATTTAGTATTTGGTTATTATTTTGAGATAAAAATAATAAATATATTGATCGATAAATTAAAAAATACATTTGCTTGTTTTCATTTAAAAAAATAAATTTATTTTAAAAATATTCTAGAGATATTTATATCTTATCTCTTAGCTCCTATCCTAAAACACTATTCAAACACGATTTTAATTAAAAAAACTAGTAATTAACTTTTTTTATTATGATTTTAGTTTTAAGTCCAAAACAGTTATTATTATTATTATTTAATAAATGTACAAGTATAAATATCATAGCTTGTCCAAAACTACTTAACATGAGCTTGCAAAAAGTTGGTCTGAAAACAGTTGGACTGCTGACAAAAAAAATCTTTTTAGTATTATATTTTGAATTTAGAAGATCTTCCTTGTTAAATCAAACCCAAATGGTCATCTAATCTCCATCCAAATGCTACTTAAATATTAATCCTCATCGTGTAACACATGAAAACTTTTATAATTAATGAGCACAAAATCCTGCTTTCTCGTCAATTTTTGTGCTATTGTACAAAATACACACTTCCTCAGGCCTTTAAAACTACCTTTTGTTTTTTGGGTCAAAAAAGTAGAAAAACAACACGCATTCAAACATGGGTCTAAGCAAAGTCATAAATATCGTCTAGGCTAACATTTTCATGCAAAAAAGCTTTATATATTAAGGGTAACACTGCTAATAAATACTAGCAATAAATACCCTTTTAATAACTTTTATAATCTCTGCATCTTCTCATGATTGTGAG